GACAGCAACTAACAACACAACAATGGGCAAACTGAAGAAAGTCTACTTTGATGACAGTACCTCCTAATATGCAGTCCTGGTGTGGCGCTGTGGGCCAATGCATAAGACTGCAAAGTCATTTGAACTGCAAGGTCAGTGGTTCAAGTTCACCAGCGGCTCCTTAGAAACCCTATAAAGGGTTGCTATGGGTTGGAATCGACTTGACGGTACTTAACAACAAAAACAACAATACTACCTAATAATTCAGACAAAATACTGGGAATTACAGTTATTGGGGAAGGGAAATGTAGGATAAGTTCCATGGCTGAAAAATAAGTATTCAGGTTGTTACCCACACAGGACTTACTTGGCACAGCTAAGAAACAAAGGCAGAGACTGGATAAAAGTGAAAGGGAAAGGCTTTACATTGGTTGATCAAGCAAGGACCAAGCTGAGATCAGAGTCACCAAGGAAAGCCCCAGAACAAAAGGAATCAACAGTTTTATACATATACAATAAACTGAGGGGGTTATGAATATGTAACAGATTTCCCATGGAAAGGTCATAAATATGCATTGGGGTGGGGTTATGATTCTTGGGCATGAAGTGGTTGTCGGAATCCTTGCTTCTAAATGTTGTCCATGTTGGTTTGGTGATGTCTTTCCCGTGACTTTTTGTTCCTTGACTAAAGTTCTTCTGTTCCGGGGTCAAACTTAGGTTGCTTGGCTGGCCAGATCTGGTTATAACCAATATTCTCTTGCTGGGTGGAATACTTTCATGGGAGGAAACAGAGCTCAAAGGAAACAAGTTATCATGAGGGAAAGAGCAGGAAAACAGGTTAATTATAGACTATATATGAGGTATACATTTTAGCACCCTCTGGCAATATTTGTTATACCCTAAGGGTAGGTTCACTGGGCAAGCTGCAGCATTTACAGTGTTATACAGAGCTAAGCAGGTTAGGTAGGGTCTCACATTTTTCACTTCGTCATTAAATTGGACTTAAAGTACCTGTTTTGACAAAGATTTTAAACCAGAGACCAGTGTATTGGTGATGAGGAATAAATGCCAAAGTTTCTGCTTGGGAATTAACCAAAGGATACCCTGATAAGTAAGAATAAAAAAGAACATTACTTTTGCTTGTGAGATGAGCTTTGTGAGGCCAAGTTACTTCTTCATTTTAATTGTCCTTGAAAGAAAACATTTTTCTCTCAAGATTGGCCACATGCATCAACTAATACACGATAATAATTAGAAAAACGCTTCAAAGCAAACAAACAACCATAAAAAGTACTAAAGGAGAAACTAAATGAGCACTTTGGTCGTAAGCAGAATTATGCCAATTTAAATATTTCGGTATCCTTTAGAAAGAAAATGTCTACATTTTTAATTTAAAAAACAAAATAACTTTTGTAAGCATTCTTTCATTATTTTACTTTTGTATGTGTGTGCTTGCTTTCCTCACCTTTAAAATCAAACCCTCATTCAGTTCAGTGGAGTTCATCTAACTAAAACTATGGAGATTCTATGGGGTTAACGGGACAGCAAGAGACCACAAATTATAGTGGGAATCCTGGTGTGGTGCTAGAGGATAAGCACTAAACTACTAACCACAAGGTTGGTGGTTCAAACCCACTAGCCGTTCTTCAGAAACCACAAACCGGGTTGCTATGAGTTGGAACCGAATCCACAGCATTTAATAACAACAACTCTTCAATCATAGGATTTTTATATTTTTTCTTCTTTATACATTTATGGATATTTATAAATAAACAACAATGAGCATGCATTATTGCTATTACCTGCCCTCCCCCACCATCAAAGTTACTTAAAACATTCCCTGATGTTGAAGAGTTCATCTTATATACTGAAGTGATTATTGATAAGAAAGAATTTGGTGCTGCAGCCCTGGCACATTTCGCCTCTCTGTGCCTCAGTTTCTCTGTTATAAATTAAAGGATTCCCAAGATGGACTCCAAAATTACTCAACTTTAATGACCTGTGGTTCTACTTGAAAAGAAAAGTAAGCTTAATGAAACTCTTACAGAGATCAAATTGGCAGTGTCTCTCACAATTACAAATGCATGTATTTGCTGACCCAGTGATCCCATTTCTGGAAATGTCTTCTATAGATATCCTTGCAAAATGACAATTATACAAGGTTACTCTTATTGTGACAGCTAAAGATTGGAAACAATTCAGATGTTCACCAATATGGGACGGCTCAGTAAATTGCTATTTATATATAACAACATGTCCTGGTGTGGCGCTGTAGGATCAGCACTGGACTGCTAACCACAGGGTTGGCAGTTCACACCCACCAGCTGCTCCTTCGAAACCTCGTACAGTATAGCTATGATTCTGAACTGCCTCAGTGGAACTTAACAATAACAACATACAACAATTTGGAATGGTAAGCCAGCAATAAAAAGAGAACAAAACTTTTACATGCAAAACATTTGTTTGTATGGGGTCAATGGCACTATAGGTCCTCTGTGCCTGCTCCCAAAACAAGGTTTTGTTTTTTTAATGAAGGAACAAATACAGTCTAAGACATTTAAAAGAGAAAAATGAGGCATGTTAGAGCAGATTCTGTGGGAAAACTCTCTTAATCAATCACTGAGGCTCAGGAAAATAGGAATTGAAATGAAGACCAGACCAAATTTGCAGCTGACTTCCCTTTACAAAGAATGATCCACTAGGGCACCATTTACTAGTATGGTACAGGCGTTTCAATGGGGGCTGTTTGCGGAGTGTCATTGGAAGGGTGGGTAATAGCAAAGGATCCACGTTGTAGCCTTTGGTTGAGCTCATCATTTGGGTTACTGAGGTCCCCTAGTGGTTGGCAGGGGAGGCCCAAACTGTACAAATTTTATAGCAAAATTCAAGAAACCACAAGAGGAGGATGAGGACTAACTTCAAACCTCTATCCATTCCTTTCACCCACCACCCCACCCAACACCAATAGTAGGAACTTGTTTTGATAAACGAATTAGGAAGAAATAAGGTTCAGAACTAGGGGGATGATAGTGATAATGCAAAGGAAGGAATAAATTCTACTTGTACCTATCTTTAAAGGTTTAAAACTTTTGTACAGATGCCTAATATTTTAGATGCCATTTCAAATGACAAACTGCCTGTAAGAAAGAGATGAGGTTGTTTTAAAATTGGGAGCTGTCATTTGAACAAGACATTTAAAACCCCGTTATCGTCCATCCTAAATGTTTCCATCCCCCTAAAAGGAAATGACTTCCATATCCTTTTTTTAAAAAAAAGAAAGCAGCAAGCAAAAACTTGAAGAGAAAATGGTTTCTCCTCTCTGAAACACAAGAGCCATTGTTTCCCTACGTTTGGCTCCACTGATCCTCAACAGTTCACCCACGACCTGGAGCCCAAATGTGGGGTGATAGAGCGCTTGGAGGTGGAGGTGACTGATGCAAGCGGTTGGCAACCTCAAGGAACCTGGGGAGGACTGTGCCCCAAGACATTGGTCATATCCTTGCTTAGGTTTTCACTCAACATCATATCCCTTCCATTAAAAAAAAAAAGCATACAAACTTAATTGTTGTTGTTGTTAAGTGCTATCAAGTCCGTTCCGAACCATATCAACCGTGTTATAGGGTTTCCGAGGAGTGGGTGGTGGGCTTGAACCTTGCGGTTCAAACCAACCTTGCGTTCCAGCGCTTATCCTCCAGCGCCACTAGCTTAATGTTCTCCTCCACCCATTATCCGCCACCTTCCCCTGAATTCGGTGGGCAGTCTGAGGTTGCCACCCAGGGTAAGAGCTTCCCAGATAGAACTGAGTGTCCGCGTGGAATATGAACGTTCCCTCATTTCTAGCTGTTTGGGTCAAGAATGGCGTGGCCCAGGCAAGTGGCCGTGGCTGGGTGACCCGCTACGCCGACGGTGGTGGCTTGGACAGGGCTGTGCACTGGTGGTCCCCGCGCTCAGGCTTCGGCTAGGGCGCTCTCGGCGTTGACTTGGCCCGGGGGCGTGTGCGATTCGCGCGGGGGCCCAGGGACATGACAGATCTGAAGGAAGAAAACGTGAAACAAAAACAAACCCCACTGCCTTCCCCCACGTCTCTCGGTAAAGGAATCGTGGGTGGAGCCGAGAGGGGGCGAGTGAACAGAATTTCGAGAGGCCGCCTCCGCCCTGGCAGCCCGCGCCCCGGAGTGCCCCGGCCCCCGCCCGCCGGGTTGGGGCCCCGCGCCGAGGTCGGGCGGAGAGAGCAGTCGCCCCACTCGGGCTCGCCGAGTACTCGGTTTTGCTATCCGTAGTAAACAAAGTGTCGCCGCCGCCTCCACGCTGGTGTGCTTCTTAGGAATCAAAACACTGAGAGGGTGAGAGACTCGTAGACACACTCGAGAACTACCAGAAAATAATAACAGATTACAAAAAAAAAAAGTGAGTGTGTGAAAGAGAAAAACACCCTACTACCCCCCAACCAACCTACAGCCACCTCCCCGTGGAAACCAGTCCTCGCCCAGGCCGGTACTCATTGGCTGTCCGGGCGGGGCTGCCGTGCGCCCATTGGCCGGGTTGGCTGCCAGTCAGGGGCGGGCCGGCGCGCGCGCGGCGGCGGGCGGGGGGCGGCGGCAGATCCCGTAAGTCGGGCGGCCGCGTAGTTGCTGCAGCCGCCGCGGTCGCCACATTCAACAGGCAGCAGCGCCGCCGTCGCGCCGCCGGGGAGAGCGAGCGAGCTGCCCACGGCGTTCGTCCGACTGTGCTTCTGTCCGCGGGCCTTGTCAGCAGGCTCCGGTGCTGTCGGGAGGCTTTGGCCCGCCGTCCAGAGTGTGCAGCGGACCCTGAGGAGCCTGGTGTTGATAGACTCGCGAAGTTAAGTTCTGGGCTCACGCTTCCTTCCCCTCCGCGTTCCTACCTCCCGATTTCCGTCCGCTCCGGCAGCGACCTCGCCCCCAAATCTCGGACGGGCTCTTGGCTCCCCTCCCCCGCCGCCACCCCGGGCTGCGCTCTCCCCTTCTTCGCTCTCTTGCGGCGGGGGAGGGGCGGGGGTCACCATGGCCGAAGCGCCCCAGGTGGTAGAGATCGACCCGGACTTCGAGCCGCTACCGCGGCCGCGCTCGTGCACCTGGCCCTTGCCCAGGCCAGAGTTTAGCCAGTCCAACTCCGCCACCTCCAGTCCGGCGCCGTCGGGCGGCGCGGCAGCCAATCTCGACGCCGCGACGGGCTTGCCCTCGGGCTCGGCGGCTGCTGTCAGCGCCGATTTCATGAACAACCTGAGCCTGTTGGAGGAGAGCGAGGATTTCCCGCCGGCGCCCGGCTCCGTGGCTGCGGCTGCGGTGGCGGCGGCGGCG